GCCATGGGCTGCGACACATTTATACAGCCCTATTTCGCATATGACTACGAAAGGCGGGAAGTAGTTTCTTCCAGTTTAGATGATCCGAACGATATAGTTTCTTTCCACTGTGTTCCTGTTAATGAAAAACTACAAATTTACCCCAAAGTACTAAAATATCGATATTTTAATATGAGAATCGATTCTAGAACATAAATTACTGGTATCGGAAGAATCCGCACACCACTACACTTCAGACATAATTTTTCTCCCTTCAGCAGACAAACTTAAATCAAGTGATTGTAACACAAGTGCATCTGGAACCGATAAGCCGGATTGACAGGCAAGCAGACAAACCATTCCAAAGAAGTGAACTATTGAGAACTGAACCTCTCTACGAGAACTAGCTCCTAAATCCTATTCCTAGTTCTGCCCTTACATGTATGTCAACAGATGGGAAATATGAATTATTACAGACCAAAATGAAAATCTTATGTTTGCTTTAGTCATTCTAACTTATTTATGTATACTAGCATTCTAATTGTAGACAGAAAAATATGGATATTTCAAATGATTATTCAAAAAACTCTTTAATCAGATCACCATCATAAATGGTGTGTGCCACAGCTTCAGTCATTTTATGTGCCTGATTGGCCATGGAACAAAAAAGGAACAGATCTCACCTAGCTGTGAATCGATCTGTCAGTAAGTTTTCCAATTACTTTTTAACTCCTGGAAATCAGGGACTGTGTTTGAAAATGTTGGTAATGCCTGAACAATTATCTAAATTTTTTTGTCAAAGGAAGCTGAAAGTCTCCACTTTATTCCCTTTTTTTTAAATTCTTGGCAAAATTACCAAAAAATGTAACTAACTCTATGAGCTTGCAAACTCTTTCATGAAGAGACGCTAATAAAAAGTGGGATATTCTGATCGTAAGAAGATTAACATCAATAAATCACTACATTGATGACCTTGGTGTATAAAAGACACAAAGATAACACCACTCTACAATCATACAAAATTGTATCAGAATTCATTCTGAACTTTTCAACCGCGCACAGGCAGAAACAATGAAACGCACACACATGCAAACATAACCTCATTGACAGAGATAATTGCTCATTGTACGTTACAAAATACAATGTAATAGTCTACTTTTTCCATCCTGTATTGCACAAGCAACACATAAAGTAATTCAACAACTGGTATATAAAGAGATGTGCAAACACACAGCGATCATTACTTGTAGGCCTTACACCACTTACTTTCCATAGCCAACAGTTGAATTCCCTCTCAATCAGAAAGGTATGTATTTAAGGTATGTAATAAAAAAAAAACTACTTAAACTTGATAACTCAAAAAGAGCCATTAAATTCAACTTAAATAAAGTAATAGGATTTCTCTGATTCTTATCTCTAGGATGAAGTGCACTATACTGTTCCTTGTGCTGTCGATGGTCGTCCTCATGGCTGAACCTGGGGAAGGCTTTATGCTTTATTATTTCACCAACCCATTTTAATATAATGCTAAAAAATAAATCTGCATGCACAAAAACATTTGTCCTTAAAGGACACAGTGGTTTGAATTATTGTTGAAGTAATTTGAAACTTTTCTGTGACCTTTATATAGTCATAAATATCTTAACCACTTTCAATACTACAGTATGTTCATTTTAAATGTTTTTAAAATTCAGGTTATAGGTCTCTTAAGTTGTCTGTAATAAAGTTTTTGACATTCCAGGACTGCAAAGTATTGTTAAATCCAAACTTGGTGCCATTTTTTGGTGAGAAGAAAGTAATACAAATAGACAAATAGATAAACTGACAAGAATGAAAAACTGCAAATGCATTTGAATTTATAAATTATAAAATATGGGATGTGGATTTTTTTTTTTTTAGCATTGTGGTGACGTTAGAACATGTGACTCAGGAGTTAGAGTAGATTGTCATTCAATCACCAGCAATGAAAAACAGAAAAACAATCCTACAGCTTAATTAAAAAAAAAAAAACATAATAAATTACAGTATATTTTTAACAAAAACATCTCAGCTAAATAGAAGGATGGAGCACTAATAAAGTGGTGTATTAGTAACACATCTAGGCTGTTTCTGGGGCTTTCAATGGGAATGTGCTAAAGGAGTTAAAACGTCTTCACACTGGATTCCAATTCACATGATGAGCAACCTGGTTAGAAATCAGGAACTTATCTGTTCAGATGATAAATTGCACAGAGCTTGTTTACTTAATGCAGTGGTTCCCAAACTTTTTTTTACTATGCCCTCCTTTGTTTTACAAGAAAAATGTTTGCGCCACCCCTCGCACAAACACATCCTCCAACCACACACCACTGTTGTGATGTGTGGTCCAACTACGTATAAACACACACACACACACAAAGTAACTCCTAATTGAAAGTGCCTGTTTCGGGTCACTTTTGCCGGTGTTGTGCCAAAAAGTGATTGCCTGCCAAAAACAGATTTCCAATGTTTCTGTGTTGCATTGTACATCCTGCATTAATATTATATGTATAATACTGTGTCAAATTCATACTACATTATTTCCATCTCTTTTTTCTTTTATTCAGCTGGCCAGACTATCCATGGGTAAGAACTTGTGCTTCTACAATTATTGCAAATGCTTGACAATGACATGTGCTGCATGTGGAGCTAAACTTTAATTTCTCTCTGACCACAGAAATAAAGACAAAGCATATAGACGAAGAGGGGAACTGCAGCTAGAGCAGGAACTGCATCAACAACTGCAGCAACTGGAACAACTTCAGAAACAGGAGAATCTGAACCAACGCTTTAACCGAGAGCAGCTCAAACGAGAGAGAATTGCTTTTAACTAGACTTCCACCCGAAAGAGAAAGTCTAAAACTCTTTACTGTAGTTGAAAAGAATGCTTTCTGCGCCTCTGAAAAAAAAAAACTAATTAACATGACCTGCTATGGCTTTAAAATGTGTCTGAATGATTGATGACATGATGAGATGTTTTAAAGAGACAAATGAGATGTATTGAGTAAATTTTCAATAAGGCTCAATAATTTTCTG